CCCCAAAACCCCAAAACCCCAAAACCCCAAAACCCCAAAACCCCAGGTGTTCTCGGCATCATAGAATATTATTAAATTACCTTAGCTCCTACTCTACTCGTCTTCAAGAGGAATTTCCAGCTCTGAGAATTCGTTCTTGACCTTACTGGATCCGAGGATATCCCTGAGTTTAGCCTTATCACTAGCATGCTTAGATTCGTCAAGGAGTTTGGAAAGGCCTGTTTCTTCCTCTCCTTCTTCCTCAGATTCCTCGCCTTCATCTTCCATTTCTTCGAGTTGGCGTTTATAGTCCTCAAGGATGTCAACTAGGAAGTTTATGCGGCCATCGATAGTGTGGATGTCTATCTTCTTGATCTCTCCAGAAAGCTGATCTTCGTACTTTTCTATCTTGAGTTGCTGTACTTCTATTTGTTCCTTCATCTTATCCATTTTCTCGTCGTATTTCTCAAGAATGGACATTAGTTGTTTATTTCCTTTTTCAATTTCGTCCATGTCTTTGTTACGCTTTGTTAGGACTTCCTTTAAAAGGGAATTTTTGGTTTCAAGGTAGTTTTGATTCATCTCTGCGTTCATCACATCCTTCTCTTTCTCTCTAGTGAGGTGAGTGTATTCATTGAGGATTTTATTTGCAAGCCTGCCTCTCTTTAATCAGTGAAGTAACAGCTGAGGAGTACATCTCTTCCATTTCTTCAACTGCGTGTGCGAGCAGAGGATATCTCCCTACAATTTCATCTATATTTCAGCTAGTGAAGAGTTCAAGCTTTTTCCTAAGAGCTTTGTTTTCAGTCTTCAAGATCTCATTCTGGGTTACTAACTTAAGATTGATCTCCTCTAACTTCTGAATTTTCATATCGCTTGCGATATTTGTATACTTTCCAGTTGCAGATTCAGGTTTTGAAACTTTACCGCCAAGTCTCAATTTAGATTTAGTAATGAGCCGGTTAAATTCTTTATTCGCCTTCGCTGATGATCGAGATTTAGAATTAGAGTTAAATGACCGTTTTGAGCTATTAATATTTCCTGAACACTTTGCTTTAAGCTTAGGTTTTGGTATCTTTTCTTCATTTTTAAGAGTCCAATAATTAATAGTCGGAGTATTATTCAAGAGCATTTCTTCAAAATTCTTATTCTTCTGCAAAAGCTTGTATTTGTTATTAAAATTTTTGATATCGTCAATACTCTGATGCGGGATAGACTTATTTGCTCTTTCATTTATTGCCTACTTGGATTTTATCCCCATTTTCTTTCCGTTCTCTAAGCTCACTTTTAATCCCTCGGTCTGATGCTTTCAACGCGCATTGTGGTGTGTTCTTGTGTTTAGTTGTTTTTGAGGAATTATGTGATAAAATCTTATCATACATTCTCTTTGTCGAAGCGGCTAATGTATGTATAGACCCCTCTGGAGATGTAGGACTCTTGATCACATCATCATGATGGAAATTCTTAAAAGATTTATTTGGAAACCGTTGTGACAGGGATAAGCACCCTCGCTACAAGGTTTCCACGGACAGATTTCCTCTTCTTCATTTCTTTCATTTTCTTTTTCTTGAGATTCTTCTGGATGTCTTTCTTAATCGAATAAGTGGAGGATTTAACCTTATCGTTCTTAATACAGTAGAAATTATTGACCATGGAATTACTCTTGATCGGTTCATCTGCGATTGTATTGAACTTACAGGAGTTCTTTAATATTTTTATTGATTTTTCAGGACTTTTTCTGAAGTCTCACGTCAACCCAATGATCTTTGTGTAAGGCTTTGATTTCTCCCTCCTAGCTTTTCATTTCTTCATCTTTGAAACCTAGGTAAATGTGTGAGAAATCAAGAGGAAAGGGAGGGGCAAACACACTGAGAAGAGAAAGGAACCATATTGATAACTTACCTTTAAATTTAAAATATTAAGTTCTAAATTTAATAATTCCAGATCTATCTGACACAATGGGGTTTTGGGGTTTTGGGGTTTTGGGGTTTTGGGGTTTTGGGGTTTTGGGGTTTTGGGGTTTTGGGG